AACTATTATCAGTTATCTGTATGACTTGAGATAACAAGAGGATACTTTGAACCTGGCTCTGTCCATTCTGGATCAGGTACTTTCCCCATGCTTACTAATGTAAATACTCCCTTATGTACGTGTCCTAGTTTTCTATATCCAGATGATTCACCTGCTCTTGGACTCGGCAGCACGTTCATGCCGCCATCTTGGCTCTTCAAACCAGCTCCACCAGCGTTGCCAAGGAACCGCCCCGACCTGTGTGTGCAATGTTTGGCATGTCACCATAGCAATGTTATGGAGGGCATTGTCAAATATTTGCAACCTATCACTTATTAGAGGCAGCGGCAGGTCAAACGATGTCTAGAGCAGCTCTCAGCCAGAGGAAATGAAAAGGAAAGAGCTCATAGGGAAATACAAGAGAGACAGAATGAGTCAAAGAGCAGTTATGAAGTTATTTTGGATTGCACAAGTTTTCATGGGATATATGTATAATATGAACATCAGAATGAGATGGGTTAGGGTTATGACTGTTTTGTTTTTGTTTTTTTAAGACATGAAACATGCAACCGCTCAAGCCATGTGTGTCATCACTAGATTTTCTAAAACATAAATGATGTATAATTGTGTGCAATTTGTAACATGAATAATTTAAGTTCTGATGTATCTCTTGTCTCAGCGTATATACCTTATAATTAGATTGTTTTATTTAGCAGATGATTAGACATTTTAAGTTCAATAATTGTTTAGGCAGACAATTTTGGATACCAGAAAGTAAAATATAATGCTTTTAAAAGATAATTTATTTTCTTCTTTTCTGAAACGATTGGAACTCATATTTCTGATCTGTTTTGATCTATCTATATCTGGGCCTATACTTGTAATACTACATTTACTGTGACAAAAATGTCAAAATAGAATACACATAACAAAGTGAATGAAATAGACAAAAACTGTCGTTTGTCCAAAGCTGAGAATATCACTTGGTTACACGCAATGACCTGATTCTATCCAGGCTAAGATGACTTTGACATTTAGAGCCATTCCCTGTGAGTCAGACTGCAGCTGGAGTCCCCCTGGTTTCTTCAACCAGGGATCATGTGCTCTTTAGTCACTCCTCCCAAAGGATTCAAGCCCACTTCAGCACACTCATTCAGAACCAGGCACCAACGCCCAGTTCTGCTTCCAAAAGCCCTCTCCAGGTCAACAAGCCCGAAACAGCAGCTGTCCCAATGCTTTCACATTTGTGTTGAGAGTATGATGATGGTTAAACTGAAGGGAAAGAGCCTTAGGAGAGCAGGGTGTTAATATTAGGGGTGTGCATTGCCTTGTATCTGTTACATGGGTCACAATACAATTTATCCCAATACTAAACTATAAGGGAATAATCTTTTCACATAACTTTAGGAAAAAAAACAAAAAAAACAAATGAGCTCTCACAGGATACTGTTTCTCTAGTATCTCATAAGTGAACGGCAGTGTAGAAGCGGGAAAAGTAAGACATTTAGGCATTAATACATATCTGTATTTTCTGAACATTGCAAATATAAATTAAATGCAAACATTTACTCACAAAAAATGAAAATTAAAAATGTGTTCAAACAAGACCAACATGGATAAGGACATAATAGCAGAACATTACTATGCTTTAGTCTTTGAGTTTTGAATGGCCAATATACTTTAACTAAACTAAGAGCTACAGTAGTTTGACCAGATATCGGCAAACAAAAAATCTTTTTAAAAAGAAGGCCAACTTTACTCTCAACAATTTCATGCTGAGGTAATCTGAGCCATGTTCTTGTTTCTAACTGTGGATTTTAAAAGACCAAGCAGTCCAGAGACTTTGTCTTATATTCCATACCAATTTCACATGTATAACCTCTAACTAAGAAATTGTAGTGTAGATCAATTTAAAAGCAGACCTCGTCCAGCTTGTTTATTTATTTTCTCGGAAAAGACTCCAGGCATCTGGCCCACCACCTTTTACCTCCAATACTCACATTACACATTTTCCCAGGGTCTGCTCTCACACTTTTATAACTTCAACACTATGTTTGTAACAGTGTGTGGAAAAATGGCAAGGGCTCCATGGATAATCTTGGTCTTGTATTATGTACAAAGGGATGTAAGTTAAGTTTGAGAGCTGATATTGCGTTACGCACTATTGAAAATACATTATCACCTTTAACAGTATAACATGATCGTAGTGACTGACATAGAAATGGATTCTTCTAGATTATTTTCATACAATTTCTTATATAATATTTTTGGGGTCATGAGTGTGTGTTCTGTTTATGTTTTATGTTCATATTTGATTTGCATCAACTTTCATATAATTCAAAACCCCAAGACAAGGAGTTTGGGGAATAACCTCATTTTACCCCCTGCTGCGCCCATGCACCTTATGTCTGATCACAAACATGTGGCAGCTACAGTCCAGCCTTAAAGAGTTCCACACAAGGAGAGCAAAGTAACCACAAAGCAAACATATTACATAAAATAATCACCATTCCAAAGCTGCCCCTTTCCATTTGCTTCTGTAGAGCAATTTACAGTTTCTTTCCTTTCCCAAAATGCGATGAGAGTGTGACCTCATAATATATTGTCCAGAGAATGTAAAAGTTAAATATAGGTTTGTTATTTTTATCGTAGAGCAGTTATTATTAGTGAAAACTCGTTTGGCTCTGGTTGCCCTCCCAGTCTGTGTATGTGTCTGCGCGAGCCGTGATGGGGGCAAACCAGACATGTCTCGTACTGTATGTGAGATTTCTGACTGTTGTTGTGAGGGAAATGATCCTCGTTTATGATTTACTTTAAATTTAAGATAATTAGAGGTGGTGGCTCGTATGTATAATAATAGGATTTCACACACAAAACAAACATTTAGGCGATTCTTCCGACTTTGAATAGCTTTATTAGATACTATGTTAATGTTCGTATCTCAATAGCTAGTTTTTGTATAACTGACTTTAAAATGTATTTAACTTTAGTATAAAACTAATACTTGAGTTACTCTTAGCCTAGAGTACATTAACGCTGTCACACTAATAGAGCTTGTGAGACATGGGGTCTAAGATTCATCTTTTGAATATTAAAAGTTATTTTTGTGTCACATTTGCATTGGACTATAATCTTGTAAAAGATCACTCGTTAAATGCAACAAAAGGCTACAAGTACGGCAGGAAAGTAGTATATACTTAAAAACAGTGTATAGTATTTTAAAATCTGAACAGTGTAAGAGTTAATTAAGTACTTGAATTACTAGAAAAAATATCAAATTTGATATGATGTATGAATTAATGAATTAATCAAATGTCAACATTGTAATTAACCCTTTAAGCGCCAGAGTATTTTCAGTGGGGTGTAGCCCCAAACCTAGAGAGAGATAGAGGACTAAGGCAATCGATAAAAGAAATAAAAAGAAAATATAAATGCAAAAGAAAATATTGGGAAAATGTTTGTGAAGTCAGGTCGCTGTATAGAACGTGCCCTGGATTCAGGAGCTTGTGTAGCAATTCTATATTGAGAAATCTTTTACAACGTTAACTTGAATGTTAGTATTGTCATTTCCAGAAAATAACATGACTCATGACTTTGAGTAACTCATCTGAATTCAGCTGGTGACAAAATTAAAACTGTGGTCAAAATATAGTAGCATTTGTGTGTGCGTGTGTGTGTTTTGTGTGTGTGTGTGTGTGCGTATGTGCGTGCGTGCGTGCGTGTGTGTGTGTGGGCACGTGTGGGCACGTGTGTGAGTGCGTGATTTAAGGGAACCGGGTTTGTTTTATCTTCTTACTACACAAAAACCTGCAAGGTCTTTTGAATTCAGCTCAGTGACAGTAATCCCAGTGTATTGTCAGCCTATGGTAAAATGACTAACCAACGACAACTGAGAAATAACTGAAAAAAGAGCTTTCATTTATCAGATTTGAACAAACTGATGTATGTCAGTGATAAGCCATCAGGAGAATGATATTATTCTTGTACGCAGAAACATACACAGCACGTACTCGCCGTCACGGGTGTCTGGATTCCAATGAGAAGCAAAACAAAAAGCAAAGATGGCTCAATCATCACCTTAAGAACATGTTGTATAACCCTTTCTCATTGTGGTTATATTTATAGTTTAAAAAAAACATTATATTTCAACTACAAAGGTCCAAGGTCCAGTTTGCCCATGCTGTTTTTATATGTTTCTCTTTTAACCCAAAGGTTTCTGCCCTCTCCTAATCAATACTTCTGATTATCTTTCTGTTGGACAATTTGTTCTGTACAGTTTGACAGAAACTCCTAAATAATTCGAGAAAAGGGGAATATGCAGCTCTGTGTTCATTTCTGGTAAACAACATTGTGAGAGAAACATAGTCCCATCTCTGTGGTCAACACCCTGAAAGTGTGTAATTTGGGATGATTTATAGGCACTTCCTGAAAACCTTACCATTACTCATAGAAACGCATGTACAGTAAATAAAAGTATGTAAATGACGTGTTCATGCCGACGGTGTTGACTACAGATTAGTTCTGTTTGAGGCGAATCAAAAAGTGCAGTGTGCAGGCAAAACAAACAGCCTACAGAGAAATTTCACAGATCTGCAGGGATTGGCTCTCCTTGAAAAAGGCATGAGAAGCGTCAAGTTTGCAGCACACCAATACACATGACATTATACAATATAACAGTTCTATCAATATGCCATTTTGATTTCAATGGCCTTCAATACCTGAATCTTTTTGCACAGCAGCTTAAAAATACATTCAAGTTCTTTCTTTTTTGTTGCCTCCCCTCTCTTTACCACTTGAACGCAGCCCAGCCTGTGAGCTCACGCTGAAACTTGAAGCTGCGGGTGTGTCATCCGGGAACATAGCAAGTGGAAACTCCACCCCAAAGTGGGAGTATCTGGCTCCAGTAGAAAATAAAAAGAGCCACACAGACACATAGGCTTCAACTTGACACAGGTATTAAACTCAGGATAAGAGCTACACCTGTCTTTTTTTTTTTTCTCCTTTTGTCAAGGGAAACAGCCATGTCCGATATGCTCGACGACATCATCGCACAGGTTAGTTCAAGCTGCTTTATGTGCTGTGGGTGTTTTGGAAAAATGTGGAGTGTGTGAAGGGAGGGTTGAGCAATCAGTACTCTTGTTTACTCCAAGAAGTGTGTTCACGTAGGAGTGACAGAATTACTACTACTACTATTACTCCTACTACTACTATCAATACTCCCACAACATTTATTCTTAAACTGACACACATTTTTGAGCCCAGTATAAATCAAACTATGATTGTGAAGGACAACTTATTTGATTTCACTAACAGAGTCTACTTTCTTCAACAGAACTTCCTTAACTTGAACCTGAATGAAGATTTTCCCCCAACTCAAAACAAGCACCGTCTGAATCGCTCGGCCTCTTTCTTCTCTCCCCCCTCCCCCCCTGCAGCGACCTGTCATAGTCTAAGCTCAGGGGACCTTCATAATGAAGACAGCAACGAAATATGGTCGAACATCTGGAGGCAGGTACCGATCTCCAAACCCAAACAGCCACCTTTCAGGCCAGACCGCTCCATGAGCCTGACTGACAGCAGCAGCTTGTTGGCCACACTCAAGAGGCTGGAAGGTTTTTCCTCAGGGCCCACCACGACAGTGGCTCCTCCGCCTGGCTTTGCTCCATCAGCGAATCTCCAACCTCAAAGCCCGCTTATGCTTGCCTCAAACCGTTACAAGACTGAACTGTGCCGTGGCTTCCAAGAAACCGGCAGCTGCAAATATGGCAACAAATGCCAGTTTGCGCATGGGGAGGCTGAGCTGCGTGGATTGTACCGTCACCCCAAGTACAAAACTGAGCCATGCAGAACCTTCTACAACTTTGGCTACTGCCCCTACGGCTCACGTTGCCATTTCATCCATGAGGAAAAGCTTGGTGGTGGCCCGGCCAAACTTCAACACCAGGCACTCAGCACGTCATCCAGCACCCAGAATCCTCGACACCAGCTTCGCCAAAGTTTGAGTTTTGCTGGTTTTCTGCACTCTCGTAGCTCACCTCCGCCTCTATTCCCCTCTTCACTCAATGATCCCAATCTGGCCTTCAGCCGCGCCCCTTCTGTATCCCCACCTCCTGCTGATCTTCTCTCTCCAGTTTTTAGCGAATCTTTTCAATGTGAAACTTCAGCATTCCAGTTTGAATCCCAACTGACCCGTGCCAGTGCTGGGGACATCCATAACATTCCTCTGATCATGGAACCAAAGGCCTCACGCTGTGTGTGCGGCCATGGGAATAACGACAGAGTCTTTCCCAACAGGGAGGACCTGCTCCCACCTCCAGGAGCTTTGGGGAAACCTGCAGGTCTCCAGCGTTTCTCCTCTGAAGACTCCCTGGAGGACAGCTACAGTAGCAGCAGTGGAGGCTCTTGTGGATCTGAGTCTCCAACCTTTGATGGATCTTCCGCCAAGAGGCTCAATGTCTTTGAGCGCTTGTCCCTGTCAGAATGAGGGAACAAAGGACAGACACCTATTAACAGTGTCCACAAAAACACTTTAAGACTATAATTTATCTAAATGTCATAGACTCGCAGATGATTTTTACCCAATTATTATCAGACTTTATTTTTATACTTCAGATAATGTGTAGCTCACAAGACCGTTGTCGTGGTCTTCCATATAAATAATGCAGCAGGTCTTGCCAGTTGAAGGGGGTTTGTTGCCCTTAGACTGTACTGATCAAATGGCTTTTTGGTAGTGATAATCACAAAACTTTGTGCCTTACAGACTCGAATGCCTTGTACAGGTTTTCACTCTTGTGCCATGAGCAGTGTTTGATTTAGTAGCCTTAATCACCTTAACCAACCCAACACATGTTATTCATGCCATTTTATGTGTTATGCACTTTACAGCTGATTCAAATGGGACAAACTGTCAAGTCTCCCTGTAGCATCCAACCAAAGCTTCAGACTTCTTCACTGCTCTGTGCGTGTGCGTGTGCGTGTCTGTGTGTGTGTGTGCGTGCGTGTGCGCGTGTGTATATGAGTGAGTGCATGTGCGAAAGGTGCATATTTCCCTCCGACCTGGGGTAAAAGCAAGTGACATCTAAAGAACACGCATTTGTCATTCTGTCGAGTATTGGCTTGTAGCACACCCCTGTTTTATTGTGACCTGATAGTGACAACTGAATTCAGGGACACTGCAGTATTCCTTTTGGTTAATGGTTGCATTGCAATGTTTAACTTAAATACATATTTATTATGATATTTATTTGTGTTTAAAGAAGAAATGTATTTTGTACTTTATTTATAGAGAAATATTAACATCTGTGAAATAGCAATGTGACTAAAACGCATTACAAAGAGAATCCTATATATTTTTAATTGTCTAAAAGGGACAAAATCATGTTCTGAATAAAGAAATAAATGTATCTACAATGTTATCTGAGTCTTCTTTGGGGGGAGGTAATTGTGCTGTTGGTTAAAACTTAAAGCCATAAGTGCATACTTACTGAATAAGAATATTATATTTCACACACACGTCTTTTTTTTAAACAAGTAGGAGTCAAACTTTCAGAATTCTGTATAAATGTTGTTTAGGCAACTCAATTAATCTAGGGTAATATTAAATAGGTTAATAGACAGATGCAGCAGCAGTGTAGTCCTTGTTGGTAGCCCAGTCCAGCTATTATAAATGATAGCTAGAAGCCTTGAAAAATATTTTTGGGGAGCCAATTATTAGCTTGTATTGGAGATATTGCAGTTGAGCCAATATTTTAAACAGGTTTTATGGTTTAATGTCATAGAGTTTTGACTTTTACTCAGTTGTTCTGTTGTTACTTGCAGGATAAACAGCGAGATAAAAAAAAGATTTGTAATAGGTTAGCCATGATTTGATAAGAGACAGTTTTCAGTTAATTCACATCAGTTCATACCAGGTAATGCCAGATATTGAAAAGTTGGCAGATGTATTGGACATGAGAAAGTTTTATCGTGTGCCTAGTGGACATGGATGATTTGGAATTTCTTATTACAATATTGTACGAGTCTCTCATGTTTAAGTGTTTTCATGTATCAGTTTTTTCTGAAGCAATTATCACCTCATAGTCATCATAGTATCCTGACACTATTGTTGATTTGCAACTATTAAGATTGATATCAAGGCCAATGGGTTTGTTAATCATAATGCATTGTAATTTAATGTATTATAAACGTGTAACCCTACTCTAAATCGAGCGTATTACAACTCGTTGCCCCTCGCTATGTAATAGCATTGGTTTGTATTCCAACAAGTTTAAGAAGAAGTGGAATAGTATTTGTCTTGCAGTGTTTAATAGCACACAGTGGCTATGTTATGTATACAGTCCCATCCAGGTTACTGCACAATAAGGAACCTGCACGTACACACCACTATCAGTCCTAACTTTTACCGCCAGATTTTCCAGTAATCTAAGTTGATTACCAAGTCCAAAGTTCATAGCAGCACACTAAGTCTCCCAAGAACTTGATCACTTTCTTGAGAATTTCAGAAGTAGTTTAAGAAAGATGTTTTAAAAGACAAACTTTTATGTTTCTAGATTTGAAACATGTCAAGTAATTGCTGTCTTATTCATTGTGCACGTGACACCTTGAAATAACTCACCTGATACCTTGCGTAGGTCATGAATAGAATAGCAATGAACAGTGGGGATTTCCACTGTATGTTTTTGTCATTATACAGAATAGGAACATGCCTGGTGCTAAGCAATGACATGAACATTAAATAAATAGATTTGGATGTAGAGTTGAAAATCAGAAGTTCTTTTAAATAAACTGTTCCAATTCCTATTTGAAACTACTATAGAGGTGTGGTGTTGCGCTTGCCTTCTTGTTTTTTTACAATGCCATGACTTTTCAGCAAAAGGAAGAGCAAACAGTTTTTTCTCAGTGTGTAAGTTGTGCAGCTATAGAAAAGTGTATGAAAAAGGAGGAACAACCTTGTGCCCACTTGGCCTGAGACAAAAGAGTGGGTTGCTATAGAAATGGACAATGACCACATCATGTGAACATGGAGGACGTAAGAGGGAGGAGTGGAGTTTGTGTGTTGATAAATATTAACTTCTGTGTGACCAGCTCATATCTGCAGCTTTTCACTATTCAACAGGATGATTGGGGGGTATAAGGCTACTCATTTATTCAATGACCTATTGCAGAGTGAGGCTCTCATAAAAAGAATAAGCAAGACCTGGGTATATGAAAAATCTATGAGGAAGCATGTTTAAGTGAACTAGAATTTTGTGTAACCAAATAAAATAATGCAACAATCCAACCCACAACTAAAACCATTAATCCCTTGGAAAATGAGTTTTGCAAAAGAATACAGGAAAAGCTATGTATGATATTGATTTAATTGTCTGCAAACAGTATATGTAAGACATATTATGTTACCGCCTGCCTGCCCTTGAACTGACCAGAGCAAGGGGGTCAGTGTGTGCAACTTTTAATTATCAACCACAAAGCCTTTCCCTGGAGTCACAAGGCTCAAACTAACACAGGCAAACACGCGGACACACAGGAGAAGCAGTCTTATCCATATTGGCTTAAGCAACAGCTAAGAGGACAGAACAGGTCGGGTCGCATATCATAAATGCAGAGATAGGGAGAAGGTAAAGACGGGAGTGGTCATTGTATGATCATTATACACAAACTAAACCAGGGTTAGAAAAAGATGTTCACTGGAGTTAATGATTGCCAAAACAAGTTAATGTGAATAGGATTTAACCAGAGAGACGTGGGAGAAGTTGAGAACGTGTTCAAATCTCAGCCGTGCGACGGTGTCAGGGCTGTTTGTAGCCTGCAGCACAAAGGAATGTTGTGTTTGCACTCATCTGATTCAAGTTTCTACTTACTGTACTCCCTGAGAAGGAAGAAGGAACTAGTTCTCAGGAAAAAGATCAAATGGTTGATAGATGACGTCAGTAACTAATATACTGTTATACTATTTGTTTTATTATGTACCCAATATTACACAAATATTACCTCTTTAAACACAGTTGTGACTACTACCTCTACTACTACTACTACTACTACTACTACTACCTCTACTACTACTACTACTACTACTACTACGACCACTACCTCTACTACTACTACTACTACTACTACGACTACTACCTCTACTACTACTACTACTACTACTACAACCACTACCTCTACTACTACTACTACTACTACCTCTACTACTACTACTACTACTACTACCTCTACTACTACTACTACCTCTACTACTACTACTACTACATCTACTACTACTACTACTACGACCACTACCTCTACTACTACTACTACTACTACCTCTACTACTACTACTACTACTACTACTACTACTACCTCTACTACTACTACTACTACCTCCACTACTACTACTACCTCTACTACTACTACCTCTACTACTACTACTACTACTACTACTACCTCTACTACTACACAACAGTATGACTTTCAACATCCCCACAAAAACATTAGTAAACTGCTATTAGTAATGTGGATACCAACTTTGAAAATGACTAACTCACTATTTATTTTGTGTTACTCTGCATGGTAAAACAGTAGTACCACGTTACTCAATCGGTTCCTTGTGTTAAGAATTAATAGCAAAGACGAATAGGTTTTAATCTCAAAACAAGAACAAGTAAACATATAGGCCCCTGCCCCTCCTGATTTCCCACAGGGTCCGTCACACCCTGTAGATTAGGCAATAGTTTAGGTTGAGTAATCTTTTAACGCAAAACCTTTGTCAAGCACTGGAGAAATGACAAAGACCCTTATTTATCTTTTAGGTCAATAGAACAAATTTGAGAAAGAAACAATAAACTCTGGGGTAATCCAGGTCTCTGAGTCACTGTCAAGTCAAATAATGTAAATAATAAACTATGTACAATCTGACTTGTGTTGGAGGTGCACTGCTAGAGCTAATGCATATAGGCAGCAGTTTCTGCAAAAGATTGCACACTATACAAAAAAAGCTACTTTTTCTATGTTTAAACACGCAACAGTATCTTTGGCCTACTTCACCCACACACCAAAACACAAACTTTTACTTTTCCCCTAGATAAGTATAGGAGGGAAAACTAAAGAGGAATAAGGGAGAAACAGCAAGATCAGAAAGAGCTGGAAGAACAGGAAGCAGGAAATATTTGTGCTGTGACATCACAGCAGCAGAGTGGAAGTGCGGGCCTTTTATAGCCATATTTTCTCTCCTCGCTGCATTCCTTGGAGGCAGAAGTCAGTGGGGCCTTCCCCGCCTCTCCCTCCCCCTGTACGTCTCCTGCGCCAAACGATTCTGTGTGTGACGCACTCAAAGGAACAGAGGGAGGAGACAAGATCAGCCAAAAGCAGCAAAAAATCCCCTCAAAGCCCCCTGATTGTATACCAACAATAACAGTATGCAAATGGAACACTTCTCTTTTCCCTCTACTACTTTTCCACAGCTTTTATTTTCAGCAATGAGTGATGTAATTTTGTCATCATCAA